TGTGTCCCCTGACGCAAGTCAGTGACCAGGGGTGAGGGGGGTGGTGTCCCCTGGTGGCAGATCTTACTCACCATGAAAGCAGCCATGCTTCTTCCAGAAGTGGCCCAGCTTCCTGTCCACACTTAAAGGGGGAGCGCTGGAGCTCCTGCCTGCCTCCCTGCTTGCTGGCTAACCAGGGAGCGCAGCCTGACAGGGACCCGTGCACTGGTGCTCTCACCTGGGAGAAGCACCTCACCTGCATCCCCTGTCCAAAATTGTAGATCTGCCTCCGCCTGCCCATATGCCCCTCATTTTGCGGATGTGTGTTTATTGTGTACCATGGTTTTAAACATGAAGGCTGTGTCCAGATGAGCATGACTGTATAGCATGCAGTGTGGGGGTGGAGTTGACCCCAGGAGATCCCAGGATCAAAAAAACCCACAAGAAAAAAAAAGCAGGGCTGTGCACATGGGGGCAGCTTGCACTACCCAAAACCCGCGCCTGGCCAGTTGGAGCCACGCTCTGGCTGCCAGCCAGGCTCTGAGTGGGCCTGCAGCTTCCCCAGGACCCCAAGGTAAGGCTGCTGGGGCCCATGGCCCCTACCCCACCCGGGGTAACCTGCCACACGCCAGAGGGCACATGGCACAGGCATTGCCCAGGGACAAGTGGCAGCAGCACAAGGTGGTTCACTGCTTCTTGTCCTCAGGGAAACAGGTCCATGCTCGTGTGGACACAGCTGAAGGCTTTGAGGCCCACAAGCAAAAAAGGCATAGCCATTGCACTTCCATGTTTATAGTTGCTATTTCTTTGATTGCAAGACTTGGACTTTTTTTCTTCCACAAGAGTTTTCATTTTTTCCCAGAATGCAACAACCTTCCCCCCCCCCCCAGCCGGGCGAGGCAGAGTTTGGTTTAAAGCTTTGTTTAGAGCTGTTTAATAATAAACACAGGGGACAAATGGATATTTGTTAAACACTCAACAAGTCTATCCTCATGCGAAGGAATGAAGAGTTTTTAATCCAGGCTTGGGCTTGTCTAGACTAGATAACAAGCTGTTAGGTAACATGCTGTAACTAAGTATGTTATTAAACATCACTCCGTACCTAAGGGAGAGAGAAGAGGTGGCTTAGTGGTTAGGAGCTAGCCTGGGTGTCAGACACACAGGTTAATGATCTTGCACTGGCACTGTGACCTTAGCCGGGTCACTTAGTTTCTCTGTCCCAAGTTCTCCAACTCTAACAGGACTAGCAGTGTTTCCCTGCCTCAAAAATGTGGGGAGGGTGAACAATTCAAAATTGTGAGGTGCTCTGACAGCATCATTGCAGAGGCCACAGAAAATACCTCAGACAGACAGGGTTTAACACCTAGAAAAACAGAAGATGACTACAGTCAATCCTAGGTTCTCTAGGCATTGGGCAACATTTTTTAGAAAAACCTTTTCAAAAGTAAAGCCCTTGACAGCTCCAGCCAGATCCTCTAGTACAGGGTTCTCTAATTTCTGGGCAGCTCGGAGCCTCATGCCACAAGGCCCACAGACCAGGGGGCCGGCCACACACCACACAAGTGCCCCTTCCCCAGCTCCTCCCCACCATACAGGCTACTCAGTACCCTCCCCCTGTACAGCACAACACACAATTCCCCTGCTATGTGTGCATCACCCACTTCCCAGCCCCACCCACCACCTATCCACCCACCTACAGTGCTTGCAGGCTTGCTTCCTCAATGACACCTCAGGCACTCCAGCTTTGGGATGTTAATGGCAGAGCAGGGGCAAGGATGGGGGCAAGATTAGTGAAGAAAATGAAGTGATCAAAGGTAGGTGATAATTGCAGCTTATCCCCTTGGTCTGCAAACCCCCACCTAGAACCTGCCACCGTGTATGCTTATGAGGGTGCAAAGAAAATGCACACATACATATGCATGCAGTAGGCATAGCAAAACATGAACCAGGCAAGCTGTGACTGCTTCCATTCCCAGTGTTGTTTGACATTAAGACATTCCTCACCAATGTAGGCAATACAAGATGTCCTGTGAGTAATCAGATTCCTCTTTCAAGGTAAAGTGGTAAGCATGACAATGATCAAATTATTTCATGCTCAAAAAAGTATAGAACAATATACCTTACATAGCCAGCAGCTCACACGTGTGGGAGATCTAAATGCAAGATAGCCTGAATGCAATAGGCAGTTTCCCTGCTACATCACATTGACATGAACAAGCAACACCACTCAGAAACAATTCAGGTTTCTTTTTCCCTTTAAGGAGAAAAGTGAATTTCATCATTAGTCTCAGGTAACTTTGCTCGGCTAAACTTGGTTGTGCCAAGGTGCTGGTTTGGCATCCAAAATTGTACAGTCATTGAACAGTTTGATGGAGTTGTAGGTAATTCACTTTTGTGGGGTGTTGGATTGTTAAATCAGTGTGGGTGTTGGATTTCTAATCAGTGATAAGATTGCTTGGTATTCAGATCTGGGGCAGAGAAAAAAGGAGAGCTGTGGGGGAAGGCAGACTACATGTGCTTTGCTCACACTTTTCACTGGAGAATTCTCCCACAGAAAGCAAGCTGCTCCACTGAAATTTTTGTGTATTTTCATAGCAGCAAGGACAAGATGGCAGTCCTGTTTCCATGGCCATTCAGTTCCAGAAGTTTCTGACCAGACTGTTATCAAAGGTGATCTTAGCGCTAGTTATAGTAGCACCCAACTTTCATACTAGAACATGGTGGTGCAACAGATTAAACACTACATTGGGTGAGTCCTGGCTAAAATAAACCATTTGGAAGCCAGACCATCCTTACATATTCACAGCAAGTTGTTTCAGAATATAATAATAATCAAGCATCTAGCTTTAACCCTCTAATCCTGGGACCCACAGGAACAAGAGACAGCTCACTAGCTGATTTTCCAGGAACAAATTTAAATCGGAGAGAATGCAACTATCAGTGTGTAAAGATCTATGCCTCCAATTCACTACCCACAAAACACCAGACCTCTTTCATACTTGTGTGGCCCCCCCAACACTACACCCTCTGGACACACTGCAGTCCCCAATGTATTCATTCTCCTAGCACCCTTGGGAAGTAGGGAAATGCCACAATTCCCCGTTTACAGATGAGAAACAGATAGAGAAGCTAATCCCTAGCCCTTTAAAGATGTTTAAGTACATAGTGCTCCTTTGAGGATGTGGGTTTCAATGTCTTCCCCAGGGTCATAAAATGAGAGTCCAGGAGAGCAGGAAAAAGAATCCAAGTCCCAGTTTAGGAGGCTAACCATCCTGGCTCCCAAACAACAGGGCTGCAATTGTACAGGTACAAGATTAGG